GCACAGTGGCTCACGCCTGTAATATCAGCACTTTGGGAGGCCAAGGAGGGTGGATCACTTGAGCTCAGGAGTGCGAGACCAACCTGGCTAACATAGTGAAGCCCTGTCTCTACTAAAAATACAAAAATTAGCCGGGTGTGATGGCGCACACCAGTAGTCTCAGTTACTCAGGAGGCTGAGGCAGAAGAATTGCTTGAACTCAGGAGGTGGAGGCTGCAGTGAGCCCAGATCATGCCATTGCATTCCAGCACTCCAGCCTGGGTGATAGGACAAGACTCTGTCTTAAAAAAAAAAAAATTGAGAGATGACAAGAGAGAATTCTCTCATAGTAACATTTTAGCTGTTGGGTCTAGCCAAGGCTGAATGTCATGCTATCCAACATTCAAGGTTATATAAATTAATAAATCACTTTTCACTTAGTGTTCACTTTGAGTTTAGTTTCTGATCCTGGCAATGAAGAGAGTTCCTGCTAAGTCAACTAAGAAAAACACATACCCTTCCCTTAAAGCCACCCTCCGCCCTCCAGACACAGTCATGCCAATGAACTCAAACAGCTCATTCTTGAAATAACCATTCAGGGCCACAAGGCCAGGGAAAATACAAAAGACTTCGTCCCAGTGCTGGGGGAACAGAACACGTAACTTCTTGACTTTGCCACCATCACACGCCTCCCAATAAATAACACCACAGGTAGGGAAACAACCCCTTATCTCTGGAGTTCTAAGACAAACACCAAAAATTTAGGGAAACCAATATGTGAGATGAAGACCACAACATTAAAAACAGTAAGCTGGCCAGGCACAGTGGCTCATGCCTGTAATTCCAGCACTTTGAGAGGCCAAGGCGGGTGGATCACGAAGTCAGAAGTTCGAGATCAGCCTGGCCAACATGGCAAAACTCCATCTCTAATAAAAATGTAAAAATTACGGCTGGATGTGGTGGCTCACGCCTGTAATCCCAGCACTTTGGGAGGCCAAGGTGGGTGGATCACAAGGTCAGGAGTTCGAGACCAGCCTGGCCAACATAGTGAAACCCCGTTTCTACTAAAAATACAAAAATTAGCCTGGTGTGGTGGTGCGCACCTGTAGTCCCAGCTACCCGGGAGGCTGAGGCAGGAGAATCGCTTGAACCTGGGAGGCAAAGCTTGCAGTGAGCTGAGACCATGCCATTGCACTCCAGCCTGGGTGAGAGTGAGACACTCCTCCACAAAAACAAAAACAAAAAAACAAAAATGTGAAAATTATCCGGGTGTGGTGGCAGGCATCTGCAATCCCAGATACTCAGAAGGCTGAGGCAGGAGAATCACTTGAACACGGGGGCAGAGGTTGCAGTGAGCTGAGACCACACCACTTCACTCTAGCCTGGGCAAAAGAGCAAAACTCTGTCTCAAAAAATAATAATAATAATAATTTAAAAAAAATTAAGGCTGGGCACAGTAGTTCACGCCTATAATCTCAGCACTTTGGGAGGCCAAGGTTGGTAGATCATGAGGTTAGGAGACAGAGACCATCCTGGCTAACAAGGTGAAACCCTATCTCTACTAAAAATACAAAAAATTAGCCAGGTGTGATGGCACGTGTCTGTATTCCCAACTACGCGGGAGGCTGAGGCAGGAGAATTGCTTGAACCTGAGAGGCAGAGGTTGCAGTGAGCCGAGATTGTGCCACTGCACTCCAGCCTGAGACGGGTGGCCCTCGTCTCAAAAAAACATTAAAAACCATAAGCCAGTACTCACTTTGGCAGCATGTGCACTAAAAAACTGGAATGATACAGACAAGGTGAACATGGCCGAGAAATTAAAAACACTGAAAACAAAGAAACAATAAGTCAACAAACATGTTTAAAGTAACTCTTTTTTTTTAACAGGTGGAGAGATGGATTTAGCAGAGGGAGAGCAAAAGGAGATGATCCAACAATGAGCAGAGGCTAAACTCCCCTGCCTGCCAAGCAAGGCACCTAGGTATGGAAGTTAAGTCAGAAAACAAGGAAGAGGCAAAGGCTAAGAAATGACTAAGATGACAATAAAAATGACAAGCGACTAGATGACAATTAGAAGCGACATCCAGGAATGCTGTGAGTGAGTCACCTCGGCCCACCCACTAGGAAGATGAAAGGGTGCCTCCCTCTCTCCTCCCTGGGCCCCCCAGGAAGGAAAAAAATCAATGCTTTTATTTTACTTAATGTTTTTATTTTAAAATAATTTCAAGCTGGGTGCGGTGGCTCACGCCTGTAATTTCAGCTACTCGGGAGGTTGAGACAGGAGAATTGCTTGAACCCAGGAGGCGGACGTTGCAGTGAGCTGAGATTGCACCACTGCACTCCAGACTGGGTAACAGGGTGAGACACTGTCTCAAAAAATAAATAAATGAATAATAATTTCAAGCTTGCAAAATTACAAAACAATACAAAGAACTCACCTCTGCTCTTCACTCAGATTCACCAGCTGTTCTGTCATGCTGCATTTGCTTTACCCCCATGTATGCCTGCTTGCATGTGCACACGTGTGTGTGTGCCTGGTGTGTGTTCTTTTTATCAGGCAGGCATTTGTAAACCACAGTCCCAGGCCAAGTCTGGCTACCTAAATTTGTATGCTCAGTAAGACAGAAATGGGTTTGCAGGATTGAAAAAAATCACAAGAATCTTTCGTGGTGTGTGAAAATCATATGAAATTGGCATTGCAGTATCCAAAAATAAAGTTTTATTGGAACACAGCCACGCCCACCCATTTACATATTGCCTGTGGCTGCGTTGGAACTCTAACAGCACCACGTGTAGTTGTGACTGAGACCATATGGCCCATAAAGCCCAACAATTTCACTATTTGGCCTTTTACCAGAAAGGTTTGCCCACTCCTGTACTAAACCATTTGGGAGTTAGTTGTAGACAACACACCTCTTTTCTCCTAAATAGTGCAGTGTGTATCTTGTAAGAACAGCAGTATTCTCTCAAATATCCACAGTACAATTATCAAATGCAACTGACCCTCAAACAACATGAGTTTCAACTGCATGTCTGCTTATACATGATTTTCTGCCACACAAGCAAGACCAAGTCCACCTCTTCCTCCTCCTCTTCCATGTGAAGACAGGAAAGATGAAGACCTTTACAATGGTCTACTTCCACTTAAGAAGAGTAAGTATATTTTCTCTTCCTTATGATTTTCTTAACATTTTCTTTTCTCTAGCTTTCTTTAAGAATGCAATGTATAATGCTTATATAAAATGTGTGCTAATCAACTGTCTCTGTTATCAGTGAGGCTTCTGATCAACATTAGGCTGACAGATGTTTTGGGGAGTCGAAAGTTTCTAGACAGGCGGGGCGCGGTGGCTGAAGCCTGTAATCCCAGCACTGTGGGAGGCCGAGGCGGGTGGATCACGAGGTCAAGAGATCGAGACCATCCTGGTCAACATGGTGAAACCCC